TATGAAACTACTATCTAATGTTAAAACTGTGTAATGAGATCAGTCAAATTGATAATGAGACTATCAAAAAATCTAGTTCTGCTCTCAGACATGGTCACACGGTCAGTCTACTATATATCAGATCTTAAAATGAAACCATGACTTGAAAAAAATGAGAAAGTGGTTCCATTTGATCTCATTTAGTCCCATTCTTGGCATAAAGTTATTATTTTTAGACATTTTAAGGTTTTTTTTAGACTATTTTTAATTTTTTAAAAAGTAACGCTTTTTGATAACACTCAAATGAGATTTAAAGTCATTTAAAGCAATAAAAATAATTTAAATTGAGAAGTGGAAATCATGGTCTCATTTGAAAAATGTGACAAGAGTAGACAGTAAGTCTCACTGAGACAGTATGAAACTACTATCTAATGTTAAAACCGTGTAATGAGATCAGTCAAATTGATAATAAGACTATCAAAAAATCTGGTCCTGATCTCAGACACAGTCACACGGTCAGTCTAGATATGAATCTCTCTGTATCTTATTATCTTTCTCTGATAAATCTGTTCTCTGTTATTCTGACTCTTACAGAGCTGATCAGTGATTCACTCTCTGCAGATCTGTGACTCTCACAGTGATCTATAAGCAGTGAATGAGAGTTATCAGTTTCTTCAGAGTTAAGAACTTAGAGTCTTACTCAATGAGCTTGTTCTGTATATTTTTATTCAGCTTCTTTATAAATATTATCATTTAGATCTTGTTTCAGAGCCCTGTTTTCACAGGTCTCAATTTATATCATAATTTCATGAAGTGCTGTGAGTAGTCTTTATCAGATTTCTTACCTCTTTTTCTAATATTAATGATCACAGCTCAGATATTCTCTGTTCAGCTCATAGAATTCTTCAACTTATTCTTCAGATAGATCTTGAGAACAGATCAGCAGAATCTCTTATAATTATTCTCTAGATAGTTCAGCCAGTTCTTAACTTCAATATAGTAGAGATCTGTTATTATATAGATGACAGCTTCTTCATCTTTCATATTACATAGTCAGACTTGTAAGTCAATTTTAAATACAAACTTGTAAAAGCTTTTATAGATTGTGATTTAATAAGTGATCTTAAGTAGTCACAGCTTAAGAAAGTTTCTTTTCAGTTCATAAGTATCTCTGAAGATTATATTTAGAGACTTAGTTTGAGAGTGTTTATAGATAGTAAGTATTTCTTATAGAAAAATAGCTTAGTTCTGTAGAAGATACTCAAGAATATTCTTCACTGAGATTGATTTATTTATGAGTTCAGAGAGTTTCTCTGTCACAGATATAGAGAATAATGTTCTATAAGTAATTGATAAGTTCTCTAAGACTTCTTTTATAAGAGTTATTTATAATTTGAGTGACTACTTCTGAGTGTCTGTAATAGAGTTCACAGAAATTGAAGTATATAAGTTTCTAGTTCTTTTAGTTATAACAGATGATTGCTGACTGACTGAGCTTGAAATGTAAGAATAAGTACTCACAGATAATTATTCAGATATTTATAGCTTGACATGATATATACTATTAACTACTAGAAGTATTCATAGTAGAAAGATAAAATGTAGAGATTAAATATATAATAGTATTTAAGCTGAGTTATAAATAGTATTCGCGAACTTCAGTCTATATAGTTGTGTGTAGCCAAGGGCTGCTAACTCTATTAGTTATGTGAGAGATAGAAATAGAGGTAAAGAATTCGTGAGAAGCGGGATTTGTTACAGAAGAAAAATTAGAAGAATAAATCTATAACTTCTATATTCAATTCTTCTATACAGAATTCTCAATTATCAGTAGTTATATTCTCTTCTTCAGCTTCAGCAGCTTCAACTTCATTAAATATGACATTTTCAAGTGAGATAATTAATGTGATGATGATGAAATATATGATGAAAGAAATAGAAGAACTGAATTCATAATTTTATTATTATTCATATTCAGATCTGTTATCAAATCTTTCATTAAATTCTTTATTAAATTCACTATTGAATTCTTCATCAAATTCTTTATTAAATCTGCTATTAAATTCTTCATTGAATTCTTCATTGAATCTGCTGTTGAATTCTTCATCAAATTCACTATTAAATTCTTTATTAAATTCACTGTTAAACTCTTCATTGATTTCACTGTTGACTTTATCAAATTCATCTTTAATTTAAAACAGTTCAATATCTTAATTTAATGAATAAGCAGATTTATTCTTTAATGAATACTTTAAAAAATTAATAATCTGAAGATCTAATAAAGCTTTTAATTTATTAGATACTAAGTTCATTCTTCAGAAGAAAGAATTTGAATTGAATTATCTACAGATGTTAACAAGAGAACAGTTACTTAATATAAATATTGAGAAGAGTATATTTCAAATTATAAGAGATGAATTAAAAAGTTCATTATAATAGACAAGATTGCAGAAATTCAAATCATCTCTATTAACTACTTATAGTGATGAGAGTAGATCTTATACTATTTCAATCTCTAAATCTGTATTATAGTTGAATGAATTATAATCTGAATCTTTCTGATTATTATAATACTATTCTATATAAGCAGATCTGAAATATTCTTTTATATCTTTTTCTCTTATAAAGTTCTCAACTGCATGATATAAAAAAGCTTTAAAATCTTTATTAAACTGAGTATCTAACTGATCTCTATATCTTCTAATTCATTTCTTTAACATGTGAAAAGACTTCTCTATAGAATTATAGTTAGATAAATATAATAATAAGAATAATAGTTTAATATCTGTATCTCTGCAAAGATTCTTCAATTCTTGAGATTGATAAGTATTACAATTATTTATCACTAAGTAGTAATAATCTCATTGACATTTAAGCAGTATTTAGATATGTATAAACTCATTAAATCTCTCTATATTATAGAATCTCTGATATATATCATAATTAGTATATTCATTGATAGTTATCACAGATAAGATTAATCATCTTCAAGATTATTTACAGAGTCTTCTAACATAATAAGAGAATTCTCTGCTTGATTATTTATATTATCAATCTACTATACATTCATTTATAGCACTCTTATTTAAAAAGATCACTTGATCAGAGAGATACTGAGTAAGTTAAATATATTATTCAGCTTGAAGTTCTTTATTATATTAAGTAACTATGAGTTCAATCTATATTATAGAACTAATGAATTAGTAGATTCTATATATTAAGTGATATTTAATTGTAATATTAATCATCTTCTTTTATATTAAATTCAGTTTCTTCAACACTCTAGATATTGACTATGAGTGAATATCAATATTAAATTCATTCTTCATAAAGCAGACAGTCTCATTGCAATATACAGTTGAATATATCTTGAAAAAATCCTTCAATTCTGATAAGATATCTGATGTGATCTTTGACTTTACACTGTGTGATGAATGAGATTCTCTAGCAGTTTCAAAGCAGTGAAGATTTCATTGAATTCAATATACAGTAGCTAGATGATAATCAATGCTTCATGCAATCTCAGCAGGCATATAATCATTCTTAAGAAGATGTACAATCTTGTTGATGATGAAATCACAGAGTTGAGATAGCATATTGATGATAAAGGTAAGAAAGACGCGTATTTGGATGATATTTGATTGAAAAAGATGTGTATTGGATGATATTGAATGATTCTAGAGAAATGCAGATATTTTGATTTTTTGGTGGTGTTTTGCTACTAATTTTCAGGGGGGGCTGGGAAAATTCTGTTTTCGCAAGTAATATGTCCGCCACAATATGCAAGAGCAGATGCGCAACAGCGCGCATCCTATTGGCATCAAAATAACGTAGGGAAACAGATTTCTCAGGCCATAATCCGAAGCCATGTAAATAAACCAAAAAAAATAAAGGGCCAATCAAGTACATGGCTCTTTACGAGTCCATTGAGGCTTGTCGGATATCGTGTTTTTCGCATCTCTCTGATTAATATCGCGATTTAGGGCTGAGGCAGGCCGACACCAAAACACATCATCAGTCAACATTAGTATGGACTAACAACTTTCAATAGCGGACTTTAGACACGGGATAAACAAGAGCAAAGGGTTTACAATAGGTGCATCCAGATTTATCCCCCAAGGCCTTCTGTGACACGCTCACATATTCACCCTGCCGACCGTTAGTGTAAATACTTAGCCGCCTGCAGCATCCGCACGCACGATAGAACCGGCGCTGTATACCATCGAGGTCTAGCTCTGCCTGGCCTTCGCGAACTTATCTCCAAGGAGAGTCAAAACAGCGTGGAACTAGACGTGCTGCTCGCGATATGCTACTCCCTCCTGTTTCAATCTGCAGAAATGGCCGACACAGGTTCGCCCAGCGTCTTCTGTCTGAATCCGAGGAACTTTCGAATATATATCATCTCGCCGCGGAATTCCGTGACGCAGATCCTACTAGCCTAGTTACTTCGCGGCGACGCTTGTCACCATGCAGATATACCTGGTAAATATACGAGATACCACATCGCTTGACAATGTATCACATATTCAGCTCCATATTCACCTGGGTGGACTCTATAGAGAACGGTTACCCGTCGAGTTTTAGCACCATATCGTCTGGCCAGTCCGCGTCGGCAAAGCTTTCATAGTCAATTACGGGGCGTTCAAGTCGGATGTCACTGGCCTCATCCGTTTGACGTTATCCCTGGCAAATGGCGGATATTCACGAAGCTGCACCCCTTATACTCCGTTATCAATGTTATATAATATCAAAGAATAAGGTGGATCATTTAACAGCATGTGTGTAGACATTGCATAGGTGGATCTTGATGTGGAGATGTTAAAAACATGTAGCCTCCGTTGCCTATTTGAGATCTTTTATTCGCAAGGTTGGCATATTTATATGAGGATTTACTTTTATAAAATCCCACTTCATAGATTTAAAGTTGCTAATGATAATCTAGGGAGGAAGTTCAGCGGCCGGTAACGGGTTTATTTAGTTATACATGTGGCAACTACGTGATTAAATGACGAGTAAAATGACCCTATGTGCAGAGCGGAACAGCAATCAAATGGTTTAATTCAGTCAGATAAACCTGTTAGTATATATATATTTGTATAAAATACCAATCCTCCAACCGCAGGCCCCTCGAAGCCCAATTAATTAACCCATAAACCATAAACCATAAACCAAAGAAAGTGTGAACAACTCCATATTTCTCCAGCTTCAGAAAGACTTCAGTCCCTCCCCTCTCCAGTATTTTACCAAAAAGCCCCCCAACCCCTTTCTGCCCCATATTCGCCCATGTGTTCCAATCTGTAAATAGGGTAGATCGAATGTATATTAAACAAGGGGGGGGGAGCGTGAAAGGAGATGAAGAAACGAAATATAGAAATTAGAAAAAAGATGACATAAGTAGGTTCGAGTTCGAGTAATGCGAAAAAGAAATATGTAAAGGAGTGAAATCAAAACAAACCACACCAAGCCAAACCAAACCATATACCCGATAAATGAGAAACTGATTGAGAAATGAATATTAAAAAGACCAAGGACCAAAAAATAAAAAAGCAAATAAGCTCCCCACAACCCGTCCCAAGGCACCATTTCCATCCCGCCCATTCGTCAAATCAGTGAATCGAATAATCCATGTGCTTTCGTGTCTGTCTCAGAATGGATAAAATTATAAACAAATGCGCCAGAACACACTCAAAAGAGAGAATTGCAAGAGAAAAAAAAAAAAAAGGAAAGAAGACACTAACACCCTGCAGCCCTGGGGGGTATAGAATAAAATAAGACGAATGAGTTGATGAGCTGAGAAAGAACGACAATAGATAAGAAATGGCCAGGAGGGGAGAGAAGCAATAAAGCAAGTACAGAGAAGATAAAAAGAAATAAAGTAGTAATAGCAAGAGATGAAACGAACATAAAATAAAATAAGAACAGATAAAAGCCGAGGGACGTCGCAACCGGATATACCGCTTATGTTCCGGTTGACGGTCGTACGTTCCATGCGAAGGTCAAAATGAATAGAGTGAAAAGGAACTTCAACGAAACGGGACAGTAGACGGGCGTAAGCAATACCTCGTGGAAGTGCAGTTTTCGAAAAAGGAGAACCCCGCGCCGCGTGTAGTGAGCCGAGTTTTACTCGCACGCATCCTGAGATAATTACCGCGGTTAGAATATTATTAGACTAGGCCAACGGCGTTTGAGCATTCGCTCGAAATTGGCCAATGGGAGGAAAAGGTAGGCCCGCAAGAGTCTCATTTTCGACAGGAGACGGGGTCTCCTCTCAAACTAGACCCTCGCCTGGGCGTTTGTATCGTCTCTGCGACTGCATCCGTCACGTACAAACAAACAAGTACGTGGCACTTAGCGCGATACATTACTTACATCCAAGCTCGCAGGACGTAAATAAAAGTTCAGAAGGCGAGGAAGGACAAGGCCAGCCGAGTTAGCCTCTGATAATTTCCTCACCGAGGTGACGCAGAGGCAGTGACGGCGGGTGAAGAAGGTCTGCGAAGATGCGATGATATGCCAGTAACTTTGGTCTGAATGACTGGGGGGCCGGACGTTCGTTTAGCCATCAGTGTCATTTTCTTTCGGAGCTCCGCGAGCCGTGTGCGGATGCTGGCGACAACTATATAAATTGGATGTTAGTTGGAAATCACATAGAATTCATTAAAGGCTACAATGGAATGATAAAGAAAATAGGAGCTGCAAATCAAAAACACGACAAAGAAAGAATACAAGATCTTAACTCACGTTTAACCACGATCTGGCGATCCTCCAACTGAACCCCATTGATAACGTCATTATCAATACCGGGTTTCTCAGCCTGTCCAGATCTCCTCGACGGCAGCTCCTCATCATTTTCCAAAACAGCCTCCAGCATCCTAATAGCAGTGACGTACGCAATTTCACAGCCAGGCAAATCCTCCCCAGTAAGCTCATTAATGGCCGCAGTCCGACTCATCTCCAGCGCGCGGTCGTACATGAGTTTTTCCGCAGTGATCCCAGAGCTCACGACGATCTGATCAACAGACGTCCCCAGTCCCAGCCCCGCATCCGATCCATACGAGTGGTTACCATTGTTACTTGGATGTGAAGGATGATCGGTAGGTAGTCGCTTCTGGCCCTCCACAAGCTTGAGCCGGACAAACTCTGCCTTTTCCAGGACTTCATTGAAGCGGTTTCTGACCCACTGTACGACGTTATTCACACGGTTCCCCGCGGCAGGGCTTGTATTGCCACTGCCGTTATGATTATTCCCCGAACTCGAAGATGAACCGTCGCCAATGCCAACCACTTCTCCTGTGTTCTTTCGCGCCCACCATGCACCGGCAATATCCATCGATTTGGCGAGCAGGGAGAGTGCCTTCACATAAAGTACCAGGGCCTCCTCAGAAAGGGTCACAACAGCATCGACGGTGAGTCCGCCATCAGTTGACTGGGACGGGTCAACTTCCATTTCTGGTGAAGCGGTACCAGGATGAATAGCCGTTTCCGACTGCATGGACGGAGCCAGCGGTATCAACTGTTTGTACTTGACTTCAGCAAATCCGTAAACAACATCACTCCGCGTGGCGCATTCTTCGATGATCTGGACTGTTTTTGTGTCCTCGTCTAACGCAACTTGCGTCTTGGCTCCGTCCCCGATAACGACAAGGTTACCTTGCGGGGAAATTGGATAGGCGGGAAATGGGTTGTATGCTAGCGGTGGAGAGCGTCCACCTTTCGTTAGAGTTAGCGGGGGAGAAAAGCCAACGCCAAACAATCTCCCACTGGCCATATTTAGCGCTTTCGAGATTGCAGATGTCGCGGAGGTAGGACTGGGCCCGTATCTCCGTTCATAAGAGCTTTGCCGATTGTGGTTAGAGTCTGCTCGCGGCCTACCAGTAACCATTTGCAAGGCACGTGATGAGGCACCTTGTGATGGACTAGGTGAGTGGGAAGCGGTGGTGGCACGCCGGACAATGGCACCTGCCGCCGGGCGTGTTGAACCTTGAGGTTGTTGCTGTATACGGGGGCTGGCAGCAAGTTCATCAGCAAAGGCATTCACTTCCACAGCCCTCTTTTCCACGATGATATAATCGCGTTCAAAAGCCACTTCCTGAGCAGCCCGTTCCCGTTCTCGTTCGGTATCTTTGTCGTCAAGCGCTGGTTGGGGAAGAGTTCCACGCTCGATGGCGTTCTCGTTGAGTAACGATGATCCGGGAGACGATGTGGTCCGACTCCGTTGTCGTTCCATGGCATGTGCAGCAGCAGTTTGATCGCTAGACCCACGGCGCCCAGGAGATGAAGGCTGGGAGTTCATGTTTTGTTGGCGTCCTGTCACCGCTGCTCGTTGTAAATCAGGTTTATCGCGGCTTCCCATCCGACGTACAGCACCGGCCGGACGAGGAGAAGTCCCGGATACTGGGCGAGGTGTGGATGGGCGTTGACCTTCTGCTGCGTGATCCAAAGAACGACGTTCAGACGGGGAGGACGAGTAACCTGCTTCCTGAGCAACGTTTACACTTCGGTCCTGCCGAGTCGAGCCAGCCCTTTGTATATCCTCAGCAATGGATTTTTCCTGAGCAACGGGATACCGATCCTCAGTCACCAACCCCGGGATATCCCCTTTAATAACCGCTGATTCGAAGAAATCATTAAAGCCCATCCTTTCCACTGGATTTCGTTTGAGTAACTGTCTTATCGTCTTTTTCATAGTTTCCGAGGCATCGCAATGTTCAGGAAATTTTATTCGATCATTCGCCTTCTCAATCTTCTGAAGCAATTCGACATGGTTCGTCGCTCTAAAATATGGCTTCCCAACCACCATTTCATACAAGACAGTGCCCACTGACCATAAATCGGCTTTAGCATCATATTTCTCATACCTCAAGATTTCCGGGGCCATATAGAGAGGGGAACCGCAGAGCGTATCGGCAAGAGACGTTGAAGGAAGTGACCGGGCAAAACCAAAATCCGCCAGTTTGAGTAAAGGCATGGAATCCAGGCCTGCAAGTGGTGTGAACAGGTCCTCATTTCCCTTGTATGGAGGAAGCCGGTAGTCTCCCCTGGCGATAGAACGCGGGGAGGGGTTAAGTAAAAGATTTTGAGGTTTTACGTCGCGATGGACCAAATCTCTCGACCGGAGGAAATGGAGGGCGCTCGCAAGTTGTTTTAGAAAGTGGCGGACAATAACTTCATTTAGACCGCCACTCTGCGGGTTCGGATATCTTTGTATCAGGTCACGGGTCAACTGGTGTCTCACTAGGGTATCGCGCTTCTTGATGAAGATCGAGAGATCCCCAAGGACGCAATATTCCATGACAAGATGGATCTCATTGGCTGTCTCTTGGCAATCTAGAAGCATGACAATATGGGGGTGGTGGACAGCTTTCAGGATATTGATCTCTAGTTTCAGGTTATCCTTCAGCTTCTTGTTTAGTCTCGCCATATTTACAGACTTAATAGCAACGAGGGTTTGGTTTCGCTACATAACCATCATATGTCAGCAGATAAACGTCGAGACGAAAGAAAACATTTATTTCAGGCTTCGATGCATGCAAAACGGAAACGGGCACACTCACATTATGAACACCCTGATAAACAGTGGCAAAACTTCCCCGGCCAATTTCCTCCAGGCGGGTATAGCTCCCGACCTGTATGGGGATGATATCCATTTCCCTACGTCGTCTGGACGGTGGCGGCCTAGTTGGTGGAGTAGCATCCTTGGGAGAATCCATGATGAGCGGGCAGCACAGGCACACGGGCACTCAGGCACCCGCACGCAAAACACACACACAAGGGCTCTTAACCACCCCAGAATCGATCACGTCCTCGACAACGTTATAAAAATTGTTTGCTTGGACCGGGGTCCCATCAGGAGCGGCTCGGGCAGGGCAGGGATTATAATCGGACGGGTGAGGGAGGAGTTGGAGGATCAGCGGTCTATGGCGAGTTTGGGATGGTATATGGCAGAGTAATTCGAGGCCGACAAGACGGTGTCGTAGCACTGGAGAAGAAAGGGAGAGGTGAGGAATAGGCCGGGGGTGGTCGTTGATAAAGCTGGGTTGCTAAGCCCGGAACGAAGCGAACCTGGGGAATCGAGATGAGGTCACAGGATCCTACTAGGCAGTATGGGGAAGGGTATGCAAATCACTGTAGACAGGTAAGTTAGTTGGGGCGGAGTAGGAGTGGAGACGACAGATAGCCAGCTATGTAACTAAACATGTATAGGAGCCCAAGAGAGAGGAAGAAGAAGAACAAGAAGAAGTAGCAGTAGTAGTAGTATAGTAAAAGAAGAGGAAGACGCAGAGGAAACGACAGCAGCCAGGGCTCGAGAGGGATGTTTGAGAGAGGATGGAGAGGATGAAGGAAGATTCGCCGGGTACCTGGAGATGACTGTGACAATGCGATCCAGTCTGGTGAGCTCTTGTGTCAGTGGAGAGGAGAGAAGCTAGTTGGTTAGGTTAGGATGGGGATGGGGATGGGATGGGATGGGATGGGGGATGAGGCTAGGGACAGCGGGCGATGATTGGCGGATACAAAACAAGGCGGCCTTGCAGCACAGCAGATGAGACGGACGGGACAGCAACAAAACGGGCAGAGAGAGGGAGGGAGGAAACGGGATTTGCTGTTGAGGTTCGTTTTTTTCTTTTTTTGCTGTCTCTTTTTTCTCTTTTCTTTATTCTTGATTCTTTAATTTTCTTTGAAATGCGTTTTCATGTTTTGGGAGGCAGCGAGAAGGGAAATGGACGTATGTATATACTATGACTAGGAGAAGGCTTACCATACCAATGTGTAATGTGCTAGTATATACGCGGCGTAGAGAGGTGGAGGCAAGACAGTCCACGTATTGATGGGGCATATATACCACGACAGGAAGAATTGTTCCATAGGATGCGGAGATCGGAAGAAGATATGAGAGGAGAGGAGACGGGAGATGTGTGATGGAAAGGGTTGATGGTTGATGATTGATGATTGATGGTTGAATGGTTGATGGAAGTATGCAGGGAGACATTGTTCATTGTTCTTCCTCGCAGGCGGCGAGCGGTGTTGGGCGGTGGGCGGTGGGCGGTGGGCGGCGTTCCAGGTAAGAGATACCCAACGGCTACCCGGGCCGCCCGCAAAACTCCAGGTCACTGATACCTGGAACCTGGCACCAGTCCCTCCCCCGGAATGATGAAACAACACCCCCTCCAGAAGGCACATGTACCAGATACCTGTACACCGCCCTACAAGGTCTATGGGATGGAGGTACCTGTGACTTGGCTTGTCCAGCACATCAGCAGGCCAGCAGATGACGCCAGACCGGATTGGGGAACAGAAGAATCTGGACTGTCAAACTGCGTGCTGCTCATCTCTCTCTCATATAGTTAGTTACCTGTCTAATCCGTAACTACATAAAACACGATTCCTGATGGGTTGGATAAAATAACAGGTAACTAATAAATAATGCGCAACATTATAAACCATCATTGCCACATGGTCTCCTCTCTCCTCTACAGCGCCACAACTCCCTCTCCTGAATCCCACCTGTTCTCAGTGCACAAGGAGGCTCCTTCACAGATGATTGAAAACTCGCCCTCTCATCAGGTGCCATGTCATGTTACATACCTCAACCCAACAGCACTACTACTACTACTGTGTAACTAACTGACTGACTAGCTGACGCATGTCTGCCGGTCTGTCTTCTGTCTCTTGTTGACAATCAGGTTGCTCTAACTTATGTACTGTACATTGTACATACATACATTTATTTATAAATAATCCCATCACGGTAACATCCTTCCTACATCTATCATCTCATCTTCATGCGCATGCAGGGAAAGGAAAGCAAAATATAAAAATAAAAATACCCCGGTAGGGTAGAGTATAACGTCATCCCTGGAAATAAGCTCTGGACCCCAAGTCGAAAAGAGCAGTAGTTAGTTAAAGTAAGAACAACAATAGCAAGGCGGAAGGTCGGAAGCCCAGAAAGTCTAACCAAACCCACATGTCTTAGGGAGGGTATTCCTGCGAGATTTCTTCAGGTTCTAGATTTTCATCGGCCAGGGGAGCATATCGTGTGTTTTTTTCGTAGCTCAGTAAGTTAAAGTAGTGGTGGTGTGTTTCAGGGATACACATACTGAGCTTAAAGTCTTACGTCTAGCCATCATGTATTACTTGTATTCTGCGGATTGAAGTAGATATTTATTGAGCAGACAGGGAAGAATGTTCTAAAGGGAAAATGAAAATGAAACAATAACTGAGAATAAAAATTATTTGCCTTTGATCAGCAACATATGGAATATATAATAAAGGTGGAAAGGTATCAACAATCGCCGGAATATACTTAAGATATGGGTCCTGCCGCCTGATATCCATCTTCCTCGCGATTGCGCCAATACTATTGTCGATACGCGAGAAGTCGTTTTAACATCGGTTGCTGCAGGCTGACTTGACTGTAGGTAGGCTCAAATCCGGCATTTCCCACGAAAGAGAGGGGATAGAACAGGGGGATCAGGGAGAAGACGGAGGAGGAGTAGTGGTGGCAGCCAGTCTCTCTCACTCAACAACGCCTCATATATACCTTTTAAGACTCTCGTCCAAAAACCCCAACAAAGCTCAACTATGAGGTCTCTCATATCGGAAGTGATCGTAACCCTTACAATACAGATCACTGAGCCACATCAAACTCCTATCAAAGAGCATCCGCTACACCACACTCTACCCATGCCCATGCCTCCCCTGCTTCATGCTCATCATCATCATCCTCCTCCCGTTCCCCTTCAAAGTCCCATCCAACCCTTCATCCCCCGCCCACCTACACCAAAAACAGCTCCTCGATCCCCGAACACAACCTCAGCGCCTGACACCCCGCATCGGACCTTATGCCTATGACGCGCGTTAGTCCATACAACAACGCAAGCGGTCTCACTCTCATTCAAATCCCCTGGGGCACACATCCCACATGCCCCCATCCGGCAATAGGTCAAAACGCATCGCACCACGAGCCGCAAATGCAAATACAAACACATCCTCGCGGAAACAGAATCACGTTCCACCGTGACCCGCCGTGCGCGTGGCAGAAGGCAAGTTTCGTGCCCATAGGCTATGAAGCACCTGGCGCGATCCTCCAGCAATGTGTGTTGTAGAGGCGGGATGGGGGGGGTTGCTGTACAAGATGCTCTCGCGCGTCAGGCTCTCATGTTAGTTTGGGTTCACTCGGCGAACCAGGGGGGGCGGGGATATCTCAGGGACTGTTGCGGTTGTTGCTGCAGGGTTGGTATGGAGGATTGGCGCTGGAGAACCCATGCGAGTCTAAGGGTTGTCTGGAGGGTTGGCGGAGGAGGGGATGGTGGGAGGATGGTTGTTGATATGTGTACGTGATTGCGCTAGGTATGGCGAAGGAGGCAAGGGACGGGGTGTAGCTTGATGCTCCCCCTCCCCCCCCCCCCCCCCCGGGAAATTTCCCCTAACACAGGGTAGGAATTATCATAGATAGCCTGTCTGGCTCGGGATATTCATCAAGCTTCGCGAGGCGAGGCGGGGCGGGGCGGGGTTGCGAGGAGATAGACAGCCCGGAGAATTTTGAAGGATAAAAAGGAGGGAATATAAGCCCTGTGTCGCGTTGGCGGAGGGTATTTCCCGGTATCTGTAGAGAAACGGCTCCGTTGTCATCATCGGTCTGCGCGTTATCCATCCCCTGGATTGAATGAAGGTAGTCTTTCCCTTGAAAATGACATAGTCTCAGAGCTGATGAGAGGTAGTTATCCAGTCAAATCACGGAATGACCAACAGCTCGCCTCTCATTATATCTGTTGTTCACATTGCTTCATTTTTCAATCATGAGAGCATTTTCATCATACCATGTACACTTTCTGCTGCTTCGCTTCATCTTACATATGAATTTTCTCATGAAAGTTCTGCAAATGTTAGAATAAAAAGTTATCCAAGTACCCTCAACTTGCAATATCAGTTAGTTAGTCAGGGGTGACACAAACACTCAGATCTCGCAGTGCTGATTCAAACAATTTTGAAGACGTGCTGAAGTTAGGTACACTTCTGGCTAGCGTTATCTTCACTGTGGATGCTTTATCTCTCACAGAGTCACAGGATGCCTTTCTTATTGTTTATGGCATGATCCCTGAAGGCAAGGAACTCTATAGATGAGATGAACGAAACCCTAGAAGCGAGATGCGCCCGCTCTGGTGCGCTTGGCGCGTTCATTTAAGCGAGCAAACTCTGCCTCGGCAGGTACCGTACCACCCGCCTTCGAGGTTCCACGGGTTATTCTAGTAAGGTTAGGCTGGGTGGGACGGAATAAATATCTTGGACCGGCCCATACCCAGCCCCTAATAATAAATATCTTTCTCCTCCTTTCTCATCGTAGTAGTAAAAATCCCCTCATCATTTCAAGCCAATATATATGAACAGGACAAATGTATGAGCAGTTGAAATAGTATATACACTTCTAAAGATCTATGCTGAGGAAGACAGATGAGATATGGTTAACACCTATAAATGATGCGAATTAAATACGAGAAGAGAAAGGGGGAAGGCGAAACAGATATCTATAAACCCAATCCGCGAACAAGCAACCACAAAACCAACGGCACCACAACATTATCATTCCCACCCGTCAAGACTGCTTCCATGCAACTTGACCCTAGCGCCGCAAGGATAGATTTAGCGACGATGACAGCCCAGCCCCTCGATGTCGCCATCGTTGGCCAGGATGCGGATATCAACTGAGACATCGGCACGGACACTGAACGATCCCACCCCCCGACAATCAACCAAACGCGCGCCGCCAGTATGCCCACAAAAACGGCGAGTGCAAAGGCCATACTGCCCTCGATACTCTTCCCGCCACCCCAGAACCACTTATGTCGGCCATATCGTCGCCCCACCACAGACGCTGCAGCGTCACCCATGCCGACGCATATAACCCCGCTGACCATGCTCAGATCCCGCGTCTCTACATCCCATCCCTCCCAGGGAGGGCTGCCAGTGCGAGGGATCCCAGCAAGAGAAAGCCAGAGTGGAACGGCGCAGCCAATAAGGAGGAAGATGTGGGAAACAATGACTGGGCCGCGATGGTCGCGCCCATCTACGTAAGGTGCAAGGAAGTATGTGAGCGGCTTTGAGATTGGTGGTAACTGCGAGGCTCGGAATAGATCCAGTAAGAGGAAAACGGCTAGGACGAGGGCCAGAGCAAGTGCTGTGAATGTAGGGTCGATGAAGGTGGCTGGCAGGAACATCAGGACCATCATTCCATGGAAGACTTTGCGTCGAGTGTCTACCTCAACGGGCCCGTTGAGACGAATCACTAACGCCAATCCTACCACAATCACAAGCGCACAATAACAAGAGATCAGGAGGCGGGTATTTGCCTCTCCGAGAGTATCTCGCCGGAGATGCTCCACCCATCCCAGACGACATGATTTGTGGTCCAACTCTGGATCGAGTAAAGGTGGTATTCGTACCCAATTCTCCAGATTGGCTTTTACGATCTGAAACCTGAAGGACGGGATGTTGCCAAACAGATATCCAATTGCCCACCCGAAGGGCTCATTCCCATGAAGTGCATTCCGCCCAACATATCTTCTCACAGGCAACAAAATTATAAATAAAGTCGCCGCGTAGGTATATAGTGCATATGCCCACTTTCGCACTCGGGCCTGTGCCGCGGTAAGTGAGAGGAATGATTTGACATTCGGCGTCACTAATCGTTTGCGCCGGCCACTAGGCGTAATTTTAACAGAATCATCCCCGTCGCCATCGTCAATGGTCGACGATTGACGACGGTAGCTGTGAGTAGATTTCTGTTGCGTATTCGTAGTTTCTTGGAGTGAACTACCATTCTTTGATCGGACATTGTCCAATGGAACTGGGTGAATGGGAGGAGCCGCGGTTCGATCATCAGACATCTTAGCAACATTAGCTTGCTTAAAACCGTAGTTGCTTTGGCTTCTCGTGCCCTTGGTCAGTGTAAGTCCGCTGACAGGTACATCGCTCTCGGGCAACACCTCCCCGTCATGGCCACCATGACTGAGTCTGTAGCAGATGCTATGATCAAGCATCTTAAGAAGACTCCTCGACTTGTTGTCTCTACTAGGTGACCGACGGAATTTCCAAGACGGTATTCTTGCTAATGTAACCTCCCAGCGCAGGACATGTTGACATAGGGCAAGCATACAAATCCCACCAAGCCACAGTAGCGCCTTCAGAATTTCCCCTTGGGGTGAGCTAGCAAAGAGCAGGATGTTAATGAGTCCTGTAGCAAGGAGCTGCAACTCGGTAGGCAATAAACTAGTTGTGGAAAGAAAATGCAATGTTGTTACAAGCGCCTGGTGTAAGGGGAAAATAAGAAGCAGTAGCTCCGGGTTGAGGCCCTGAAATGCCTCAGAGCTTCGTGACGGGATATCCGAGATGATAACTGGCAGAATGGTAATCGCCCAATGTGCGATGATGAAGTCATGCCGTACATTGTAGAAGGGTATAACGGGAGAAGGTATCGAAGAAAGTCCGAGTATTATATTTGGTAATATTGACGTCTGATGATTGTGTACCAGCGACAACGCAATTAGCACAGGGAGGAGAACGGGGTATATTAGAGGAGCGGGATCGAGATTCGTCGAGAATGGGAAGGCCGCAATAGCTTTCCAACTGCGCCGTCGAAAACCATGCGTAGAAATTTGAAAAGGGTATATCAAGTAAAGTACAAGAATCGTAATCGAAAATGTCAAAAGCTCTAAATGAGCAGAACACAATATCAGCACCTCTAGCACTTGTCAAAAAATAAACAAACAAATAAATAAATACATAAATAATGACAGATACGTACCTCTATTCCAAGCTCTAGCAGCGAATCTTACATCGTTCCCAAAATATACCGTCGCGGCCACAGCAAGTACCAGCACCGTCTCAAACAGCCTTCGTAGAACTTCGATGCGGTTCCGCCTAGCCACCTGGGCCAGGGCATCTTCCTCATCGCCATCCGCAGCCTCACCCGAATCTCTTCTCGAAGCCGCTGACCTCGACCTCCTGAAAGCATACCATAACCGCTCTGCCGTCGACTCCGCACCCGTCTCCTGGCCACTCCCTCGTCCAGCACTCAGGTTGTGTCTAGGTCGCGCCCGGGGCGCCGGCAAGCCTTTCAAAAACCCCGTGCTCTCATCGTCCGCCTCCGTTCCACTTTCACTAGAAGTCCTAGACGATTTTCTCCACGAGGAAGTATAGTGGTTGCCACGTTCACCGTTGCCTGTCGGGGTGAGGAGGCCGGGTCCGTGGCGATGGTAAGGGTGCGGCGATCGTGAAAGTTGCCGTCGTGAGCTCAGCGCTGAAGCAGCTATAGGTGAGGGATCATGGTTTTCATGGCTTTCGTCATTTCCTCTGTCGGCGACTTGGGTTGCCATATCATTCTGGTCGAGTATTGGGTTTGGAAGAGCTGGGAGCGATCACCCTCACGCCATAGCTGGTTGGAGCTCGCTGTGACGTCGAGAGAAAAAACGGCGGTGCGTGACCGGAATTGTCAATCAACAACCCGGATAATATTTAAATAACTTGGTAGAACCCACCTTACGTCATCTGTAGTGGTTCATTGTGGACAGAAACCTGTTTTTTGCATCTCGATATCGTCATCATCAACCGCCATGTTTTTCCCTCGTGTTTTATACTTGTTATTAGGGCGCTACTTTCGGTAACATGCATATCAGCAGTTGGCTCTACAGAGTAGTTATAGGACATGGAGTAAATTCCTTTTGATTTCATTGGCGTTCCTACTCTCCAAGCAGTATAGCAATCAAATTTTCAAATATACAGCCGTAACTAGTTTCAAATTGATCGTTGAAATGGTCATAATAATGCAATCCAAAATATTTTCACCCCTTCAAGCGAATATGAACCACAATACCCGCGGCAAGTTTCAACGCCCTTGGGCCCCAGACAGATGTAGCTGGGACGATCTGCCCCAGCTGCCCAACACTCCCATCCAGGGGATAAGAGGTATATACCGTCGAATTAACATGATCGATGGTCTCGCCATGCACATCAATTTCTCTCGCTTTCACGAAATCTATCGCGTCCCGTATGCTCACTTCCAAATCATGGGTTGGTTGTCCCGCGGTGCCGTCTTGTACCCCTATATAATAACACGACCCAAAACCGGTGCCTTGTGACCGGCTTAATGTCCATGACCCATTGCGTTGTGTTTCCTTAGACGTAGTTAGTTGATCTGACCTTGTCCCCAAACCCTGCCACTCAATATCAACTGCACGTGGTAGCGCCGCGACCTGCACCGCGAAAAACGGCGGAGTGCAAACGGATCCCCTGACGATATCGAAATTTGGCAGGTTTTTTTTCACATCCGCTGCGGAATACTTCCCTAGACCCCGCTGGTTTCCATATTTGAGGTCCCAACTATCAAATCCAGGCGGTTCCTCGTCATCCTCGTCCTCCTCTCCAGCCTTCAGGGATGACGGATCGCGGTTCATATGCTCCCAGATATCCCACGCCAGCTTAGCCTTTGCGGGGATATTCTCATCCCCAGCTAGAAGCGCCACGGCCCCCAACCACCAGTCCACCTCCATGACTCTCCCAATCCGCCACAAATGTTGCAAGGATAATACCAAACGAGATACAAATGGATTAAACCAGCCGCTGCTCTCCTCCGTTGGAGCAGGGTTGTATATTTCCATCGACCCAGGTTCCAGGGGTATCTGCCCCGCAACATATACTAGCCCGCCATCGTGATCAATCCTTCCATGTTTGTGTAGCGGGATGCACTGTGCTTGTGAATATGGCCCTATATTTGCTGGGGCCCAGTAAGAACGTGACTGGACGTGTAAGCCCAATCTACACTCGCGCAGCAGCATATCTATGACGAAAGACGCGAGGACGTCCACACCAGGAGGCATGTTATCGCCGCATGCCACAGTTACTCTGGCAGGGGGTTTCGGTTTGGTAAATAGAGAAGCGTAAATGGGGTTTATTAGAGTGAAGTCGTCCATTGATCGTAGGAGGACGGTGGTAAATACAATGTCCGCGGTAGTTGTGGGGCGTCTAGTTCCAGTAGTTGTTGAGGTAGCTTGTAGCAAAATCGTCTCGAGCTTTCGTGCGATAGCTTCCATCTGATTCCCCGCCCCAGGACCAACTTCAGGGGCGGAGAGGTTCGAGATAGTCCATACATTTTCTCCCTTGATTTGACACACAGCCACCTTCCGGCTCTCTTCATCACCGTAATTACCATGTAACCTGTGATCCTGGACCTCTTCTTCTCGAACATCCTCATACTCCCCCCCGCGCAGAAGCATTTCATCCAAAAGTTCCTTAAACCCGGCATCAAACAGCTGCGGCACCCTCACCAACCTCAAACCCCCATCATCATCATCATCATCCCCGCCCCTTTCATCCTTCCGCACGCACGTAGCCCCCCGAATCCTCACAGCAGCCACACCCCCCTCCCCAACCCTCCTCTCAATCCTCTCAACCACAATCCTCCCCTTCCACAAAACCCCCGGCCCATCCAACGCAATAGTCTCATACTCCCCACCCTCCCCCAACACCGCCCCCGCCACCTCCCCTTCCCCCACAAACCTTCCCATCCCCCGCACCAACCCCCTCCTCACCACCCCGCCTTCCCCATCCGCCCTCCCCGCAACATCCCCCCACAAATCATCCACATCCAACCCTCCACTAGAAATCTTGATAATCCGCGCCTCACAACCGCACGCGGCCATGTCGTCCAACAGCCCCGCGACAGCTGCGGGGGAGTTGGCTGGCACCAACTCACGCTCCACCGGCGGTGGGAGGGTCGGATACATCCACAGCCAAGCTAGGGGGGTCAGTCCCAGACGACTAGCGACATTCTCGACTCGTGTGCGCTGGTAGGTGGAGAGGATGGCGCCGGCGCAGACGGCGTTGGCGGTTGGGTGGGCCTTGAGGACCCGTTGGAGGAGGTGGAAGATGGATTCGGTTTCGTCTGTTGCTGTTGTTGCTGCTGCTGCTGATGATGAAGGTGGTGACGGTGAGGGTGGCTGGTAGTCTCGCGAGGTGTTGAGGGCCGTGCCGTGGATCGGGGCGCGGTAGAGCGGAATATCCAGGGCATATTGGTAGAGGGGAATTATGCTGTGGCCGACTGTTTGGTACATGTAGCTATGGAGGTCTTCTTCCTCTTCCTCTTCCTCTTCTCCCCACTGACCAATCTCCCCATTGCCATTCACTTCCTGACCCCCCACTCTACCCTTCTGCACAACATCCCCATCCTGATCATCGCATTGCAATGACCCCGTAGTTACATATGCATCATAATTGGCACTGCGTTTCGGCCGCAAGGGCGGATGGAGGTTCGCGAGCGCAACGACCTTGTGTCCATTTTTGAGACAGTGAAGGATGACGTAGAGAGAGTCCTTGCCGCCTGATATCAGGGCAATGACATTGAGCTGTTTCTGCTGCTGCTGCTGTTGTTGTTGGGGCATGGTAAAAAATCTTGAATCAGGTCCAGTTCAGGGGGAACAGAAAGTGACCAGGGCAAGGCGTGCAGCCGATAAAGAAAGACCCTTGGTCTGATCAGATAGATATCCAGGAATCCAGGAATACAGTTGTTCTCAACGCAACATAAACAGAAATACAACTGAAAGTAGAACTAAGACCATCCTTTTCACTCAGGTTTGCTTTTCACCTAGGAAACTCAACGTAGCAACTACGTACACATCTTGTTCCTCTTCTTTTTCTGTGCTTGTCGTTTTCATTCAACAAGAGAATAAACACTGGTCAGAATATTTTTCTACTCCCAATGAAGCCGGCCAGGTTTGAACGGTGTAAATGTACATGTACATATACAGCACATACGTCTGTCTGGCTGGGAGAAGTTGGCGAGGCGAGGGGCGAGTTGGTCAACCTTTGGTAGGGTAACTAGCTTAATAAGCACCGACCAGGAAGACGGCTTTCAACCACCATATCAGCTCAATAACGTTGAATTCATTGACATTTAATTTCATCTGGTCTAAAGCTGAACACATAATAGATGTCTCTGTTCAGATACAGATGCAGATATATATTAATATATATATAATATATTGAATATTTTTCACTAATATATTGCGTGTGTGATGCATGACTGTGTGATATATTTTCATGTCATTCTGCACATTCAAACAAGAGATATAGTAGTTAATAAGAAAAAGCAAGGAAAATAGAAAAATAGACAAAAGAAAGAAATATGGAACATGAAATGAAATAAATATAAATTCTCTTCTCACTTCTGTTTGTCTCTATCTTCTACAGAATGTCACACGAATACAGCAGAGAAATAAAAGTGAGAGAGAGAGGGAGAAGAGTGAAAGACAAGAGAATATAGAAAGAAGTCATTTCATCTTTTTTTTTTCCGACTTTCTTTATTTTTCGTGGGTGGATTTCATTGATATATGAGGATTTGAGAGGATTGAGTAAATGGTAAAGGAAATAGCAGAATATGATTTTTTAAAAACAAGAGTAAAAAAGGGCGATACACCTGATATAGCTGATATAACACATGGGGCAGGGGTGTTACATTTAGTGTGGATATATTAAAAATTGACAGATTTCAAAAAAAAGGGGGAGGGGGGAGGAGAGAGAACAAATGAAAATTTGATAAATGCCTTTGAAATAGTTTATCATGTTGTTCGTGACCAGCACCTAGAAACATGACAAATGAAAATTGGGAATGGTGAAAGGAAGATATAGAAACATATATAGGAAAAATATGAGATGAGATGAGACAAGGAAAGGGAAAAAGAGAAAAGACAAATCTGAGAACCATGGCCCTGAAAATGAGATAGAACCAGGAGAAAAGTGGAAGAAAAAGGGGTTGGGTATTTTTCCATCCAGAAGTAACTTGGCCCTTGGGGGGAACAAAAGGGATAGATGAAAACAATAAGATCCAAGAGGAAGAACAGTAATAATTAATACAGCAAGAGGGAGTTCAAAGGAAGAAGAAAGGAAAGATAACGAGAAAGATAAAAGAAACGACTAAATTTATACCAAAACGAGAAACGCAGACAAAATGCAAAGATTGCTTTGGGAGGTTTCTTTAAAACATCTGATCACCCACCACCCCCTTATTTCCTAACCCTCTTTCTTGCGCACACGCACATACCAATAACCAAAGGACAGCAAAGCTGTATCGTGGCAGGGAATGACAATCCATCCACGCATGGTTTGTGACACCTTCCTCTCTGCCCTGCTTCTTTGCTTCCTTCCTGCGTCCCCCGCTCTCAATGCCCTATGACGAAATCCGGGCGAGGAATGTTTATCGATCGGATTAGCGTTAAGGGTGGAAAATTATTGTCGAGTCGACGGAAAATTATATATAGAACCCAAAAATGAAAACATCCAATAGGAAGGAAATGTCTCACGATGACCCCTAACACACACCTTACCCAAAAAAGGAGAATAAAAATTAAATAAATAAATTATCCCACGACGCCAGTAAACAGCAAGTAGAATTAGTCACACCAATGTAAGGAGAAGAGGGAAAATGTTTATGAGGGAGTTTTTCCTTTTCAAGAGATATCAAACTCCAACAAGGTCCAAAGACCAATGCATGCATGCCTGAGATCTATTATACGGGATATGTAGAAGGAGGGAGGACTTGATGAGGTATAAGAAAATATGTAATCTCCTGGTCGCATGGCAATCGTAGCGCCCGGCTCCTAGCAATCAGCCGGGAGAAGGGCGGACAGATGGGTTTTTTTTTTTTTTGCTCTTTTTATAGACACAAAAAGTATTTAAAAAAAGACGGAGAGCAAAGAGATTACGCGGATTCCTCCCTCTTGCGCTTCTTGATGGGCCGTTTGCGATCGGGGAATGGTGTTGGTGACATGCCATTGTCGGAGGACGATTCACTGGTGGTGGACTTGTTGGCGGCGGCCTGGGCAGCCTCGTACAGCACCGCTCCTAGCGCGCCGGCGTCTTGGTCATCGTAGGGCGAGCCGCTGTCGGTATGCATGTCGCGTGTGTCTAGGACACCCATGACAATCGCGCCACCGCCATGTGTGCGGGCGTGTTGGGCGAGGTTGTCGCTGCGGGAAAACTTCTTGCCACACTCGTGACATTCAAACGGTTTGTCTTGGGTATGGAGTGATCTGTAGTGGCGCTTGAGGTGTTCCTGGCGACGGAAGCGACGAGAACATAGTGTGCAGACGAAGGTTTTGGAGGGATCTTCCGTAAGAGATTGCTTTCGGCCGCGACGGTTGACAGGGACCACAGGGGCAGGGATGGTGGCATCGGAGGTGTTTGACGTTTGCAGGTTACTCTCGGAGGTCTCCTTTGTAGGGGCGTCATTTGTCTGGTGTTGTTGCTGTTGCTGTTGCTGTTGCTGCTGGGTAGAGGAGGTAGATTCACCAAGTGTGTGGGTGCCATTGGTGTTGCCGTTCGCATTACTGCCACGGCTGTTGACATTGGCCTGGGCAGCCTTGATGATGGAGCCAAGGGTATCCGAGTCGCTGTCAGAGGACGACGGGCGCTTGACCTGTTTGCGCGGGGTCAAGCGCTTCTTCGTCCTCATGTCACCGGTCGCCAGGGTGGAGGTGGTGGTGGGGGTGGACTCCGGTTCTGGCAGCTCAGAGGGCAGGAGAGGCAAGCCAGAGCGAGCGAATAAATCCTCGTCGTCAAAGTCCTCGAGACTCTGCTCACTGACGAGATCGTCGGCGTCGGGAGAGTAGGAAGCGACGCGTCGACGTTTGTCACCGAGGAAGAAAGTATTTTCGGTCGGGGTAAAGTCGACGATGTCGTTGACGAATTCGTCCTCGGAATCGAGGTCAGAAAAGCTGTCAAACGACGGCAGGCTACCCAGGGTATCGTCAGTGTGGTCAGCGGAGTCGCTCAGGGAGGTGTGCGACAGATGATGCGGCAAGGAATTAGTTTCGGCACCCAGGTTAAATTTGTGGGCCTCGTGGTCGGGGTGGAGATCGTCGGGATGGTGGGAGGGCGACGACAGCGAGGGCAAGGGAGGGAAATCGGACGAGGAGGAGGACTGGGCGGAGGATTCGACGGTGAGCTGGCGAGGATCGCAGAAGTCGGAGCTGCAGGGCGGGGGAGGCAGCGAGGCGGGAGGAGGGTGAGGGTGGTGGTGGTGTTGGTGATGTTGGTGATGGTGATGCAGGAGTAAGGAGGTGAGGACGGGCGAGGGCGAGGGCGAAAGGGAGGGACACGAGTTAGCGGCCGTGCTAGCGGAGGCCACCCTGGAGAGGACCCTGGACAGCCCAGACTGCAGCCCCTCGCGGTGGCTGGCTCTGGCTGGGCCCTGGATGAACACTGCAGCACCCGCAACACCACACACGCACAGGTTAGTAAGAGCCAAATTAATTTGCTGGTAAAAAAATAAGTATGCATCCATAGCTGCCAAATTAATTGTAAGGCGGCAGATATATCGATGTTTTTTATCATTTTTTGGAGGGTTTTTCTCTCCTGCCCTTTTTTGGTTTTCCTTTCGTGTTTTTTTTTGTTTCTTCACCCAACAAACAACCAGCCAGTCCTTTAAAAAACTTCCCCCGAAACAGACAATGTCTATTTTCCTTGCCAACACAATAAAACAATGCATAGTTCTCATTGAACTACCACCAAATATCGGGGGAAAATATAAATTTCTTGAAAAAAAAAAAAAAAAAAAAAAAAAAAAAAGGAATTGATGGAACATACCTGGCGTCATCGGAGGGGAACTCGACCGTGCCCAGTCAAGATTAGCCAGTATCTCGGTCTGCACATCGCTCTGGCACCCCTCCTTCACTCCTTCAATCGTCTCCAATTGGAAAAAACTCCCATTCACCGGCGTGTGCAGCATCCCACAGCTCGATGGCGGGCTGCTCACGGTGCTTCCAGATGACGACAAGGGCGGCGTCGACGGGAAGCCGTAGAGATCGGTAGTGCCGTTGTTGTCATTGCTATTACCGCACGAGGTGTCCAGGGGAATCAGTGAAGGAAGGTCCTGGTGCAGCACAATACTGGGCTTGAGGTGCAGTGGTTGCGGTGGTTGCGGTGATGCGGTTGGCGGGGTCATATGCATCGTTCCGTTCAGCAGGCTCATTGCATGGGTCTGGGCTGGGAGGTGGCCGTGGGGGTATCCGGCGGGCTTTTCTTGCATGGTTTGTTGCGGGTGCAATGGTTGTTGCTGTTGCTGGATAGCCTGGTTTGGGTAGATTGGCATTTGCCCATTTGGGTGCTGCTGCTGTTGCATCTCTGAGGGATGCGGCGAGAAGTGGCCGTGTTGCCCATTGTGTGTATCCGGGTCGGGATTGTAATAATAAAAGGGCGAAGGCCCGGAAACTGGCGCGGCATGCATGGCGTAGGTAGGTTCCATGACGATTGGCGTTTTTGGAGTCTGCAAAGGATATCAATCCTATCAGTCTCTCTCGAACAATTGGCACAAACCAGCTTCCATGTGCGATATGGTTATTATCACCCTTCATTGACCTCCGTATGATACACGCTTTTTTACCTCAACCCTCCCCTAGCTCCCCACCAACCAAAAGACAACAACACGGACATGCGACTTACCGATAAGATCCAAGAAGAATAAGAGACTGTCTCTTCCGGTATGTAGCGAAGATATTAGAAAAGCAATATGGGGGGGGTAATTCGATCTCAACTGAAATCCTTGCAAGATATGTTGAGTCCGCTTCGAAAGGGGGGCGAGCAGTGATCGAATACAAGGTAAAATAGTACATGCGCAAAAAACGAAGTGGGAAGAGTAATAGTGACAAATAACGCGGTATAGGAATTGGGGAGAGAGAGAGAGAGATATAGAGATTATATTAATTCAAGTGATTTTTGACTGCCAAAGGAGTGACTGGCCGATCCCCACGACGTCTAAGAGAGAGTAAGTGTTAAGTTGCGATTATC